TGTCGAAAGGACTCTTTGTCGGGGACCGCCTCGTGTCGGGCTAACTAAGAAACGGAGCCGAACACGAACACACTTTTTGAGCTCGAAATATAAACGAGCAGCTCGTTTACACCCCTAAATACAGTAGATGCTTCTCGCCACGCGACATGTCTGCTGGCCTCTTCCAGTTGATCATTTTCTCTATAGAAGATAACAAGAAAAAAATTGAGGAAAAGGAGCATATATTATTTTCAAAATGCAACCAAGACATGACCCTGTCAATTCTAAAATTGCAGCTAAATGACAATACTCATTGAGTTTGACAGATTGTTGCATTCAATTTATATAAGAAAATCAAAAGCTGTCGGGTGGATGTATGCTCATTTAGAAAAATGTGGTGGTGCTAAAGTTTGGCATGTGGAGAGAATTTATAGTGACATTCACTTACAAGCTTTAATCTTAATAAAGCGTCTGTAAGTTATACGCATGATCAATTTTAATAGGTATAACATAAGCAAAAGAGAGACTTGTATGTATAATACAATCAATGCCCTGGAGATCTAATTGGTCAGTCAGTTTGTAACGAATATGTTGTGCTTTATACACGAATCACATTTGTTGGCGGCATTTGTTGAACTATATATCTATCACGGAAAATGAATCGATTGAAAGTGACAAGACTGACATAAATCAAATATGATATGCGCAATTTGATTCTAAATTTTCACGACCATTGCCGAAGTTGCTTGAACATTCGATCATAAAATGGATCACATGAGCATGTCTGGAATATCAAAATTTCTTAGAAAGGACATTATATTGCTTAGATATGCTCGTAGGTTATTGACACAAAATTCGAGAAAATATATATTTAAAATACTTCAAAAAAATTAAATCAAATCTTTCAAAATCCTTCCCATCAAACCCACCATCTAAGCTGCAGCTACCCATGTTCAAACCATGCCTCCACCGCCCACCTTATACAAGTAAATTAAAGACATGTAAATAATAATAATCAAAGATAACAAAATTAAAACCTAATACTATGCTCAGCTCTCTCCGTTCTCTTTTTCACGTAACCCCCAATCCGAGCCATCTCTCACGCGATGAAATCCACTCTCACTCCCTTTCATGTGACCTCCCTCTGCTCTCTCTCCTCATGGCTTGACTAGCAGACCTGTGATCATCCCCTTCTTCTTTATTTCGCATGTCCTAAGGTCTCTTCTTACTCGCTTGTTATCTCCCTGCTGCTACTTGCGCTCTTCTTCTGCTTCAACGCCCAGCTCACGCCCCACTCTACCTACCCTTCTACTCCACTTGCCCAGCACAAACCCAGCCTACCACAGATCTCCCTGCTTCAACGCCCAGCTCA